TCTGGTCTTTGAGGAGCTTCTTCATCTGGTTCTATAATTAACTTCATTCAACTAAATAGCTATAGATTGCTGGGCATACCCTGCGTGTATGGTGAGCTTCTTGTTTTGCTGTACCTATTCCGCGTAAGTCAGGACTCCTGAGGAAGCAATCAAATTACATCGATTACCACTTACCAATTTCTTCAATTTCTTTAGGTTCTTCAGGAACATGATTCTTGACAGTGCGCCTCAGATCTTCCATGGTAGCAATACCCCGGTCTTGGATACCGATTTCAGCCGGTAACATCGCCGATGCGTGCGGTGCAGAGGGAAGCATAGCCTGAACAGAGCGCATCCGCGTCTCTGCATCCGCGCTGAATTTGGTGGTAGGAATGTTATTCAGTGACGCCCCATTCGCGACCGACCTGACCGCCCATTCAAAATTATCCAAAGCCCAGGGATACTTGAAGGGCGTTATCGCGCCCTTCAGCAAAAAGTAGTACTCGATCAAAGTTTTCAGCTCGAAGCCGTAATCGGGTCCTACCATATCAAATGAATATCCACTTTGTCGGTATGCGGCCTTGAAGGGATAGCAGAGGTCTTCGATATGTGGTAAAATCACCGATAGGATTCGTTGTCCTCCAGACAGCATGTATACTCCCCCAGGCGACTGGTCGAGCTCTTTGTGGGCCCATATTGACTGGCTAGCCGTATGTCCGCCGATACGAAGCTTTACCAAGGCGATCTTCATGTACCACTGTGTCGTGGTTCGAGTCTGTGAGGCTGGTACCCAGACCAAGTCTTCGACCAAAGGCAATTTTGCGAACTCGTCTGGAAAGTACTTGTTCGCGTAGTCTTGGATGTTCTGCAAGGTAACTTTGTCATTGGAAGCCATCTGTTCAAATGTAAGCAGCTGCGGAGAGTTTGGTGTATGAACCTGATATACCTCGATGATGCACCTGTGATTGATGGGTCTTGCTGTAATTGAGCTGGTCAGGTCTCTCAGGAATGGTGACTGTCGCAAGATATACTACTCGAGCTTTAGGCAGTGGCATGTGTTCAACTAGGTAGCGAAAAGGGAAGTAAAGAATGAGCAAAGGAAAGTGGATTATCAGGAAACAACTCACTAGCAGGCAGATATTGAAGCAGGGTAGTTAACACACTTAGTTTAATCTCACCTGGGTATTCTTCTCTCTGACCGCATGAGTTTACTAATGTCACTAGTGAGAGAACACTTCCTGGGCCAGTACTCCCTTACACCACGCTATAAACCATCATTCTACCAGCTTAACAGTGTATTAGAACGAGATTCCAGAACCCCTAGTCGAATCCTGCAAAAGGACTGCGTGATAAAGCTGACTTGTAAAGGTATGCATCTGCTGGGCGTTCTTTCTTTGCCGATCAGTACAATCTCTCTACAAGCTCTTGACGAAGCGCTCTTATAGGGACGCTATGATTTCATACGTGTTCGATGAATGACTCGGAGTACGACGCAGGGTGTGAGTGTGACCGTCTTCGTGCTTTCCTTCCAAGGTTCCCCGATCATCGTCTGCCACTAAAGCCCCGACACGGCTAGCGCACACTGCTAGCGCCATGTCCAAGAAGGCCGGACAGCACTCGATGCTTTCAGCATCTTCGACACAACCCTACCTTCTCCATCTAACTCTACTTTCAATACGAGGTCATGGCGGAGGATGAAGAGATCGAGTCTGCTCTGATTCCAAGTCTCTACAAACCACCCGCTTTGTTACCGATCGCGCAACTCAAAGATCAGCTCCTCTACACAATAGAGACATACCCCGTGACTATTGTTGTTGGTGAAACAGGAAGTGGTAAGCTTCCCAAATCTCTCCAGAAAGGCCAAAGCTGACAAGTCGCCTCAGGAAAGACAACACAGGTACCAAAATTTCTGCTGGAAGCTGGCTGGTGCAATGGCGGCAAGCAAATAGCGATCACACAACCCCGGAGAATAGCGTGTACTAGCGTAGCCGCAAGAGTAGCAGAGGAACTGGGTACGCAGCTTGGTCAACAAGTCGGGTACAGTATCAGATTCGAAGATGTTACGTCCGCGGCTACGCAGGTGAAGTTTGTCACAGACGGCCTATTACTGCGCGAGATGCTCGTCGATCCGCTCCTTTCACGCTATTCAGTCATTATGGTCGACGAAGCCCATGAAAGAAGCCTGTCCTCTGACATACTATTGAGCCTACTGAAGAAGGTCCTGAGGAAGCGAGAAGACCTGCGCGTTGTTGTGAGTAGCGCTACGCTAGAAGCGGAACGTTTTCTTGACTTCTTCAACCCCGACGATAGCGAGAAGGTTCACGGCAAAAGCAAGGAAGAATTCGGATACATCATTGGTATCGAAGGGCGCACATATCCGGTTGAGATCCAGTACCTACAGGAACCAACGAACGACTACGTGGAAGCAGCAATCGACACAGTCATGAAGATCCACGAGCACGAGATCGAAGGCGACATCCTTGTCTTTTTGACAGGACGCGAGGAGATTGACGACGCAATCGACAAGCTGGGTGACCGCATTGCGGACATGTCTTCATCCAAGCAAAGGCTCATGCCCTTGCCCCTCTACGCTGGCTTGCCAACAGAAGACCAAAATCTCATCTTCACCAAGCCGCCACAAGACACGCGACGCGTCGTTTTTAGCACCAACATCTCAGAGGCATCTTTGACTATTGACGGCATCGTCTTTGTGGTGGACTCAGGATATGTCAAGCTTCGCGCCTACAACGCCAATCTAGGCATCGAAAATCTCGCTGTCGTTCCTGTTTCGAAAGCTAGTGCCACACAGAGAGCGGGTCGTGCTGGACGAACGAGGCCGGGCAAATGCTTCAGACTGTATCCTGAAAGCGTTTACGAAAATTTGGAGGAAGCGACGTTCCCAGAACTCGCCCGCTCGAATCTCGCACCTGTAATTCTGCAGCTCCTCAATTTGGGCATCACAAACGTGGTGCGATTCGACTACCTCTCGCCGCCGCCATCAGCACTAGTAACGCGCGCTCTGGATTTGCTCTACTCTCTCGGCGCGTTGGACGCTCATGCTCGCCTCACGAAGCCCCTCGGCACGCGTATGGCGGAGCTTCCACTCGAACCGATGCTTGCTCGCGCATTATTGAAGGCGGCTGAACCGGAGTTTGGCTGCTTGAGCGAGATGCTCACAATAGCCGCAATGATGACTCTGCAAGGCAATGCTTTCGTTTCTCATGACGGCGGAAAGAAGCAGCTTGATGCGGCAAGGCGGAAATTTGCCGTATCAGAGGGCGATCACCTTACACTATACAATGTATACGAAGCTTTCGTGAAAGCTGGAATGGGTAACACAGCATGGTGTCATTCAAACAGTCTGAACCACAAGTCGCTCGTCAAGGCAGTCAGCGTCCGGAAACAACTAGCTGCTTACTTGGATCGTTTCGGCGTCAAGGAGAATGTCCTCGCGTCATCAGGCGTGCTGAGGGTTGGCGGTACACCACTCGCCGAGCGCGTCCGTCGCTGTCTAACGACTGGGTTCTTCGCACATGCTGCGAGGATGAAGGCAGATGGGACTTTCACTACGGTTGATGGAAAGACGACGTTGTGGCCTCATCCGACGTCTGTGTTCTTCACGCGGAAGGCGGATTGGGTCATATACACTGAGATTCAGTCTACTCGGGACAAGATTTACATCAGGGATCTGAGTACAGTGGAGATGGACTGGTTGACGGAGTATGCACCAGAGTTCTACAAGATCAAGAATGGCGGTCGATGAGACGAGAAGAAAAGTAGCTTGCGGGTATCTATCAAAACTAAGGGCATAATTACATAAGGACATCACGACAGGATTGCTGCTTGCCCGCAATTACTTGCATGCGTCGACGAACAGCTCTCGCATGCCCTTCAGGAAGCCTGCTAAGTCGCGCGTTTCATTCAGTCTGTCCACAACCGTCTCGACCTCTTCGCGCTCGACCTTGGGCCGCATCTCTAGCACCCTGTAGTCGCGCTCGCTGGTATCCAGTTCAAACCAGGCTTCACGGTCCCACTCCCTCTCATCAACATTGGTATAGACGAACTTCAATCTGTCGTCTTTGCCCAGCCCCTCAATCCTCAAGCCCAGATAGTTCTCCCAGAAGTCAAGTTCTGGCTCGTTGTACCGACTTTGCCCATCGAGGTAACGGCGGTGTTTGAGTTGTGCTTCGCGGCGTGCGGAGATGGTCTTTTGCACTTCGGCGATTTGTGCGCGCAGGCTGTCGCGATGGGCTAGGCGCTCGTCGCGCTGGAGGGTGAGGGCGGAGATGGCTTCCTGCATTTCGGAGGTTTCTTGAGATTCCTTGGAGATTGTTTGGCTGTGCTGGGCGGTCTTGAGTTCGAGGATCTCGATATCGCGCTTCTTCATGCGTTGGTCCTCTGTCGCCATAGTTAGTATGCGACCAAACAAGATGCAGGTGTTTCGTGTCTTATCGTACCATGGAGTTCTGCGACATTCATACGGAACTGATTGCGCTCTTCCAGTACTCGTCTGCGTCCGTTCTCGATAAATGCGTCAAATCGCGTAGTGAACTGGTTCATGCGACTGCGCAGATCGTCGAAACCGAAGTTGATGCTGGGCAATTGGTCGGCCATGGACGGCGCATCATGTGAGGAGGCGCGCATCGTGGTGCTCATGGAGGGCTCGAAGGTCGTCATGATTGCGGTCTGATTGTGACGTCTCTCGTGGTGTATACGAATATGTGATGGGGTGCGATGCGACGTTGGGTGGTGAGGGCGGATGGGATGGTTGCTCCGTAAACAAACATGCGCGCTAACGCGGCAGGAACGATAGCGGGGCGCATGCACGTGCCGACGCGACTTTTGGCGCTAGTGGAACTTTTTGGCGAGGTCACTTTCATCATCCATGGATCGCGTCCGGCGCATTCTCAACCTTGACAGACAGAATCTTCGCTCTCGCATACGGTCTTCTGTTTTCTGCGTACAAAGAATGAGTTTATACTCCAGCGTCGTTACGGATCGAGAACCTTTACGACAGCCCAATGGCTGACAGATCGCTCAAAGATCTGAACTACGGCCATCCCGGTGCAGCGACCTACGACTTGGAGAACAGAGAATGGACGTTTGCCAGGCCATATACCACACGCTCATTCAAGCGCATACGAACTTCGAAGGACGCGGATTCTGCGAGCAGTCATGCGACACCGGCATTTTCTCTCTCTGCAGAAATCCTAGCGAGTGGGACCAGCGTACAGAAAGAGATCAGCACCAGCATCGAAGAACACCCTCAGCTCTCTGCAGCAGCTGAAGTCCTCCCCGATCTAGCTGTAGTATCTGCTGCCATATCATCCACGGCTTCGACGTACGATCCGCTCGTCGGCGACCTACTGTCCTTCGGTTCGATTACGCCCAAGGGTAGACATGAGGCATGGCGAATAGCTGCATTGCCGACTGGAGGATCTGGGAGCATATTGCAGTTGTCAATCCTGGACAACGAAAGACACGGTTGGACAGCAGACCCGAAGTCATGGGTAGAAGGGCGAACCTTGAAAGATACGGAGAGTGGCTTCTGGAACGAGGAAGCGGCACCGATCCAGCAAGTTTGCTTTGCGCGTTCGGACGACAGCAGACCTTTTCTGGCTGTGCGACTGCCTACCCGTACGGTCCTCTTTCACCCAGACTACCACCGTCGACCACGCGCTTCCACTGTGTCACCGTTCTACCGCTTACCCGCCTCCTCTATCGGACCCCACCCTATGCTCAGCCTAAGTCAGAACGATACTGAAGGCTCTGCTCATGTCGACTTTACGTTCAATCCAGACTTCCAGTTACAATTTGCACTCGTCGACCTGAACCAAACATGGAGTGTATGGGACATCGAGCATCGGCCCATACTTGGCACGTACTCGGCTTCATGCCTGCTTCGTGGAAAGATCGATGAACTGGAAGAGGATGGGGGCACAACTTGCGAAGACGGCTGGGCGAGGATTTTGTGGGTGACCGATATAACGACATTGCTGGTATGCAACAGACGCCATTTCAGCATCGTTAGCATCAAGGGCAGGACAACGTCATACCTTCCCTGCCCAGAGCTCTTCAGTGAGCGATCAGCAGACTGGATCTTGGATGTCAAGCGACATCCGAGAGATAGAAGTCGAGTTTTCGTCTTGACCTCTACTCGTCTATTCCTTCTTTCGGTCACTGCACCGAGTGAGCTGCTTGCGAGGGCGGGCGAAGCTGGTGCTGTAGTCCTCACATCATTGCGACACTACCGGGGTGTGGAGGATTTCACCCTCCACATAAGCGTGCAGATGCTGTCGGACGATGGTGAGTTGCAGATTAATCGCATGACAAGGACTTCACTAACAGCCTGATAGAAACATGTGTTATGCTCCACTCTCGAGTGAACAACTTAGTCCAAGTACATAGCTTCCGCAGCAGTACCTCTGGTCCTTCCGGCCTCGTTACCAGTTCAGATCCGACTCTCCTAGACCTACCCATCGGTGGATCCGCACACATAACCAACTTGTACATCGATCCCATGCAATGGGAATACGCAAAGAAAGACGTCTTCTTCCTCCAACTGTTTGTGACGCTGTCAGACTTGAGTATACGCGAGCTGGTTGTCTGGAGCCAGAGCACCTCGACGGGACATGCCGCCGGGAATGACCACGCTGTTGTAGACTTCACGCTAAATACCATCAAACGCCCTAGAAACCTCACCTTGAACTCGAAACGACGCAACAAAGACGACGATTTCATAGTTCCTAACGGGTTGGTCACCACAGGGCTACCAAGCTCTAAGACCATCATACAGCAACCAGGGTTGCGCAAATCCTCAGATAGTACTGCCATGCCGGACGCTCGGGACAATGCTTCTCTGGGCGCTATTCTATCTCAGTCAAAGAGCGCGGCGGAGCAGGTCTCGGGTACCATCGATGCGGTGGCCGTCATGGACCAAGTGAACGAAATGTTGGCGACTGGTGCAGACTTGCCACCTTTACCATTGGGTACTCTGTAAGTGAACTGGGTCTTCTTCCAATTCTGAACTAACGATTACAGGATGGAGTTTACGCGCACGCAGTTCCATGTTGCAGACATTGACGAAGCTTCGTCCAACTTTCAAGAGCTGTTCTCTTCGCCCAATGGTCAGGATACTGTGGATGTCCAGCGTATCGCAGCTATGCGCGTACTCGGCTTGACCGACGACAGCGACCTCACCATCTCCGATGCGTACGATAGTATACTCCAGACATGGGTTGCGCCTATGCCTCCGGATACGCCAATTCGCGTTCGGCAACGCCAAGAACTTCTGGCTCGGCGAATCGCTACGGAACTGATGTTCTCAAGCACGTGTATACGTGACGATCGGATCCAAGTGCCCGCTGTTGACATACAGCGTGGGCAGAGTCAGGACAGTGCCGTAGCCTTACCCATCTTGCCTGCAAGACCAAAGGAGGCTACCTTCAACTTCACCTCCAGATATCCTGCGTCTCAGCCGTTACCGACACCGCCATACTCATCTATACCACCTTCGTCTTTGCCTCCATCCTCTGTGTATGGATCGTCCCTACCCGAGATACCTTCCGTTGAGCCAGCTTCATCGGACCCCCTCAGTCGGCTTAGCAAGTATCTTCAGACTTCCAAAGACCCGGTTATCATTCCGCCAAACGTGTCGCAAAGTCTCGCGCATTGGGAATCAGGAAAGGATCCGCAGATGTACAATTGGGTCAGCATGGAGCGTACTCTTCGGGCTGAAGAACTAGATGAGGAGAGCCAGCAACAACGCGAGAAGGAACGCAAAAAGAAGGAACGCAGAGAAAAGCGCCAACAGCGTGAGAACGAGCTCATGAGGGCCAAGACTGCGAGTCAACTTAATGCATATCCGAGAAGCTCTCCAGGGCCCATGCTGGGTGGCATGGGTAGCAGCAGTCAGGTACCGAGTCAGAGCCAAAGTCAAAGCCATGTACCATTCCAGACTGGAGGCTTCATGATGCCACAAAGTCAAGTGGAGCGGGGCAAGTTTGGAGGAAAGCTAGACAAGAAGAAGAAAAAGAAGGGGAGGATCAGTGGATTTTGAGTTTTGGGCTGGCGCATTGTTCCGTACATGCGACCCTGGAATACAAAGGCTATATATGCACGGAGCGGATGCTTCTGATTTGATGCCGTCACCGGTGCGGAAAGAAGGAAGCTCCTCCCCTCAAAGTGGGGTCAGAGGGGTAGCTTCCGCATTCCAACTACATAGCTTAGCTCCACCCCGAACCCATCGTACATACCAAGGATCGCATTCAATACAAGCAATTGTTCCACAAAACTATTACAAAGTCCTTCTGCAACACAAACGAAAATGTCAGGCTTCCCATCTCTCCAGCCCGCTTTCACCGTCCGCGTCGACATCGATGCGCCGATGCAAGTCGGAGGCCAACATGGCGCGCAGCTAGTCATCGTCCCGATGGTATCCGGTACAGTGAAGAGTGAACCGGGCTTCGAGCCTAAGCTGGATGGAGAGCTGCACGGTACCGGCTATGACTACATTCACAACGACGCCGATGGTGGTAACATGCGCTTGGATGTCAGGAGTCAGGTCAAGTGAGTGCAAAGATACACATACTTGTTCGAGAGAACATATGATGCTCATGATATATAGGAACCACGACGGAACGATTCTAGCAATGTATTACAAGGGCACCGTGAAGCTCACGCCTGGTGTCGGCAAGGTGCTATCTGGTGCCTCGGATGCTAAGACTACCGACTACGGCGATTCGTTCGTGAACTTCACTTTCGAGACGGGCAACGAGAAGTACAAGGATCTTCAGAACGGAACATATGTAGCTGCCGGCCATTTCGTAACAGGCGAGGGAAAGCCAGGTGTTGTGGTGGAGTACAAGGTTAGCAAGGTTGTGTACAAGGCGTAAGTCAGCACACGTGTTGGGGGTGAGTGAGGCTGTATCGGGTTATTACTTGAAGATGCTGATGCCTGACCTAGGGCAAAGACGTGTACGTCGCGACCTGTATATAATCCGAACTTATAATCAATGACTGTATCGATCCTTCTTTCACCCGTCTCTTGTCTCTCTTCCTGAAGCATGCGGTGTAGCATTTTGATTTCTCTCACCATGTGTCGAGTCTGCTACCACTTCATTGGACGCGCTGAGATCCTGAATATGTGGTCGTTTGCTCAGTAGCTTCGTCAGCCCGACCTTGCTTACTCACCTTCACCTCGCTGATACTGGAGGTAGCGTTTGCTCCCCGCTTAGCGCGTCAAACGCGACCTACGGCCTCTTCGCTCTTCGATTTTCCCCCACAACAACCTTCCTCGTTCGACTGCCCGATCGCCTTGAAATACTGCTCGACCCGTCATCAATACCACCGGGTACCTGGGTGTACTACTTCAACGCGCCAACGATTACACGCTGATCAAACAACGCTCCCACTCCGCTATAGCCATCCCCATACGCGCTATGCAATACAGTTCCTCAGCAAAGATAATGCCGAAGAAGAAGTACATACTCGGTGACTTCGTCAAGTACGCGACAGGCAGACTCGCGACCCACTTCACCGCCATCTCTGATATGGCACTCTACCAATTCTCTGAGAAACTGTATCTGGACGAGAAGCACAACACACATCGACGCCACATGCTCCTAGTTGGTCACTATTCACGTAAAGCCAGCGGCCCGCCAGTATGGGCATGTGCTACGGGTGAAAAGATCTGTTACTATTCCGAGTCGGGAAAGCTATTGACTCCATTGGTCCAGGACATACATTCGTCAAAGGTCTACTACGATCCGCCTTTCAGCTACATCGGTGGCTCGCACGATTACAGTAGTCAGAAGCCTGGAATGAACCCGGAACGCAAGCTTGAGCGTGCAATAGTTGATTCCGCTATCAACTTCATCTTCCTGTCAACTGGACGACTGGATCAGGTCTTCGATCTGGTGAACCCGGACATACTGAGTCACTTCAAACTCGCTTGTACGAATTTGGTCCGACACCAGAGATCTCTTGCTGAGGCTGGACATACTGCATACGAGCAAGTTTCACGGAACGTATTCTCCAATACGCCTGCGAATGAGAGGCTACATCCCAATGAACCCATTGCGGTAGATGGGTCGAATCTGCAGCTTGTACACCGCAGCAAGAGCACGGCCTCGCCTAGTCTGGGTAAACGTCAGTTCGTTGACTTCAGCGACGATCGGACCGATGATCTACCAAGTGGTAAGTAGAGTGTCAGCGCCTATCTGAAACCTGTCTAACGTCCCAAAACAGCCTCAAATAAACGTACACGCCTGTTTGTAAGTTATGACCTTCTCCAAGAGGTTATCAAGTCATGGTAGTCGCTAATACACCATCATAGGAACAGATCAGCGACTATGAAACCGAGATACACGCCAAACATGAACAGGAGATACGAGAACTCAGAGTTCAGCTTGATCAACGGGACGCGAAGATCGGTGCTACAAAGGCCAAGCTCATGCGCGAGAAGACTAAGCGACGCGATATACAGACGCAGCGAAACGCGTGGAAACAGGAGTACAAGATCCAGGAGGCTCTAGCTGCGTCTACTACTGAACATGCCAAGCAAGAGGAAGGGAGTGAGGATTGGAAGGCTATGTTCTTCGATCAAGAAAAGAAGACCGAAGACTACAAGGTCAAATACATTGCGACGAAAGAACAGAAGGAGGAATGGGAAGCAGAGAAGTTGGGGATGCAGGTTGATATCGTTCGTCTCCGATCGAAGATGTTGGGCCAGAAGAGTACCCTACAAAACTATGAGATCGGCCATGTGAAACAAGGAGCACGAATGGCCAATCATCATCAAGAGCGGGAGAGGCTACAGCAGGAGCTATCCAAAGAGAAGGAAGCGAGGATATTCTGGCAGAGAAGGCACAGTACTCTACTAGCAAGTTCGCGAAACCGCTCACTACCTGCTACAACTCCGACTGGCCCGCGAAACATGACAGCTAGTATGCAGGTTATTAGGGCGCCGCTCGACAACAGAGGTACACAGGCAAGCTCGCGTACATCAGGATTTGGCGAATATGTACCTCTACCACAGGGTATGCGCAGATGAGCTAGAGCTAATGGGTTTTGAGTTACTTTACATGCGTTTGACTGGCAGAGATATGGCATTGGAAAGGCTATTAGTATGAGTAAGGTGGTGTCTGGCTGAGAGGATTTAGCTGCAGGTGTTGCGGACTACAATGTGTTTTTAGAATATGAAGCTGAGAGAATTGATACGTTTGCCAACGACAATGTAATCTTGGAAGACCAATGTCGTTCTTAACCGGCGATATACGCTTACATCTCAGTTTCGCCTTAGCATGACTGCATATCATTTATTCGCTTTCCTGCTACATAGGCCCCCTACGGATCATGCGTTCATTGCAGAGTCATTCTTCGGTGCCGTGGTTAGGTATAGAGACGACCATTTACACCAACAAACTAACGTCATCGACCTATCAACCCACCAACCTCTGGTGTTGACGATGCTTTTCTCTTTGAGAAGACCTATTTAGATAGATACATATCTATTTCGGAAGTCGAGTCGCTCGTTGCGATGGGTCGTCAGCAGTACCATGGGATGGTGAACGGTATTAAAAGTACGACTTGGCGCACACGACCAACCTACCAATGTACACACCAAACGTCCCTCGCGAAAGTACTCCAGGTTCAAGCGCGAAGCCCAGGCAACGTCGTCCACAGAATCATCCTCCTCAACGACCGGTTCCCCAACCCAGCCAATCACCCAACCCCCCTTTAGATCGCAAGCTCGGGTACCCACCCGCTCCTCCCCTTCTCCCCTTCCTTTTGCGCGGCACAACTTAGCGCACCTCCAAACACACACCCTCTCCACTCCTCGGCGCCTGCAGTGTGGCAGCACCCGTCTCCGCGATTAGTTGATCAACTGTTGAACCATCGGCACTATTCGTAGCGACAACCGACACCGACTCAGCAACACGAGTCAGCTCTTCGCACGATAAGGACGCGTGAGTCGAGAAAGCATTTGCTTATGGAAAGCCCGACGGGGTCGCGATAGGTCTTGGCTTGTGCCTGCGTATCTGCCGTATGGATGCCTTATGAAATCCATCGTGGAGTAATGTTATCTACCGAGTAGTGCATGTCAGACCAGGATCCCCACGTTACGGCACCCAGCACAGTACCAAACACGCTCAACCCGTTTTATGTACGCTCGCGCTCCCGGCCGCCGCGAACGTGGGGAGGAAGGAAGGAAGGGGCGACAGCAAGGCGGCCGTTGTCTTAGTCGTGCGTGTTAGTGCGGGATGACATCTCCTGTGAGCTATTTTCCGAATAGTGCCAACGGCGCTAGCTTCAAGGGGGCTGACTGTTGCAAGTGTGTGGACAGACGAGGAAAAAGCAAGTACTCGGGGCCCATCAAAACTTTACTGTTTGCGATGGCGGTTGCAGTAGTTGCGGGCCTGATGCGTCCCTAGGTCTGAGGCTGTGGATTTTGATCGTCGCGATTCGATCTTCGGCATGTTGGTGGTGTCGTGGGGATCTGAATGGCAGGTACGGTCCAGGTGGATGTGAGGTCTCCGCTGCTCTCCGCGAATGAGAGCGTGTCAGTGTCTTGGCATGAGGGCGCTCTTGTTGTGGGCGCCTTCGATACATGCAAGCGTTTTGGAAGGACGGTATGATGCTGGTGCGTAGGAGTATGTATGGGGAGATCAATAGGTGTGATTGATATCAATGTATTACACTATTAGTCTTGGGACTATGCTACAGTCGACGAGTGAGTCGATGCTAAGATGCCATTGGTGGCAGGTATCTGAGGACGATGCGGATATGCAACCAGTCGTAGGCGTTGAAACGGCCTATGCATCATGCAGTGTCGTTATACATAGATGCGAAACTAATGAACAAAAGAAACAAAAGTGGACAAAACTATGTTGAGTCGCGACTGTGATGACGAAGTGGCCGTTGTGGTCGTACCGAAGCGAGACGAAATGGAGAAGGATGCAGATAACCGAGTGTGACAGAGGCGCGTCACGCAGAACTCCGTCTGATGAGATGGTGGCGCCTTCGATCGGCACCACCACACGCGAAACAAGTAAGTGACCCAATCCGATCACATTATGCCCTTGAGGCCACGGAAGCCACCGGTTTTGGAAGACGAAGGCTTCTTCTGTTCCTTCTCTTTGACCTTCTTTCCGATGTTCTGAGCGCCGCCTGTCTCATAGTTAGCCTCTGATGTTGCAGTACGTGATACCGATAACTTACCCCGACCGTATATCCGGACCTCCGATTTCGGGTCTACTTTGTCTTTTCTCTCCTTACTTGAGCTTCCATCGGTGTCGGCGGAGAAGCTACTCTGCCCGCTCGATTGAGGCTTTGGAGCCTGAAACTGATTGTGGAGAGACGCATCATATGCTGCAGAAAAGTTTGGTCCGTATCCGCCACCAAACCCAGGGTACGGCGATGGCGCTGTTTGAGATCGTTGCGGCTTCCCCTGTTGTAGTGATTCAAGCCGAGCAGGACGAGGTGGTGACGCGGCTGATCCTGGGCTGTGGACGGAGTCCGGCGATCGGTATTCGTAATACTCTTGCTCCTCGCTTGGGGTGGCCTCGGTAGTAGATAGAGGTGTCAAATATCTCGAGCTGTAGTTGGTCGCCTGTCGGATGCTGGAGTTGCGACTGACCCGTGAAGTGCCAAAGTCGATATGACCAGACTTGTCCCGGGGGTAGAGCTGTCCCATCTCAGCCTCTCGCTCCCCTTCGAGCTCATGGTACTTCATCTGCAGCTCGGTATATTGCTCAAGGAGGCGGTAATGAGTCTTCTTGAGTTGCTGCATTTTGGCGTTGCTCGCTGCAAGCGCAGAGTCGAGCATCTGCTGCACAGAGGACGGCAGTTGCCCTGGCTTGCCAGTGCTTCTGTCGGAAGATTGTAGTCGGGACTCGAGCTCCATAATCCGGCGCTCGTAAGCCTTAATCGATCGCTCGCGTTCCTGCTCACGGCTGTTCAAACGCATGTTTGCAATTTCGAGATCGTTGCGCAAGTCGTTCCGCTCCTGGATGAGGGTGTGTAGCTCCTTCCTCTGGTCTTCGAATGCTATGATCTTATCTTGCGCACCCTCAAGCTCCCGCTTAATGTCCGCGTAGTCTTCAAGCTCGTATTCCAACGCTTTGGTCCGTTGTTGGGCTTTTAGTCGCTCAGCCTCAGCTCTCTCCACAATCTTCTTGAGCTGCTCATAGTCTGATTGTGTCCTTTGGAGCTCATATCGCAGACCGCCCTCGTCACTGTGCCAGGTCTTTTCACTCTCTTTGTACGACCGCACCTTGTTGTTCAACTCGCTTTCCCATTTCTTGGATTGGCTTCGGCTCGTGAGCGTTTCCTTCTTGAGTTGGGCGTACAGCTCGTTTGCCTTGGCGAGTTTGGCCTTTAGTGTCTTGTTGGTGTTGATCAGATTCTGAGTCTCCGCCTCTACAGTCGCTTCTTTGATGTGCTTCCGCTGTAGCTGTCCGATGTGAGCAAGATGCTGTAATTTGAGATACCGCTCAAAGTTGAGGTCATTCCGAAGTAGCATGATCTCTCTTTGCAAAGACGCCATGGTGTGGTTTTGGAAGTCATGGTGGGTAGATTGGTTGCCGGAGATTGATTGGGCGAAACTGTCCAGGCTGGGTTGATGCGCCACGAACCGCTGTGCGGATTGACCAGACATATCCGGCTTCTTTGTATCTTTGGTGGGCGGCAGTGTTGGAGAATCCATCATGTCGCGGCCTTTCAGCAACGGTGAGGCCATGGACTTGATAGATACCGCAGACTTGATAGACTTGCTCTTTGGTGGGAGTTCGAGATCAGGAGCATCTGGAGCATCGCTTGACGAAACGTTCAAAGTCGACTGGGTGTTCCTCCAGCTTGCATCTGAATCGTGTACTGTTGTGCCGTCCTGGTCGTCCAGAGTGAATTGCGAGGGTATCTCTGGGACAGGGGGTAAAGCTGCGCTGGGTGGTGGGCCGGGGTCCTCCAAAGTCGACGACACGGCAACGCAAAGGTCCATGCATTCGATGACGACGTCTGCGGGGTCGCTTTTCAGCCACCTGTTCTCGCTCAGCTCGTCTTCGACTGTGGTCGTGAACATGTTCGGGTGTAGTAAATGAACGCGACGGTAGGGTTCGGTCCGGCTGTGGATGAGATCTTGGTCCAGGTCGAAGTCGCGGGCGCCTGGAAAGTTGAGTGACTTGAGATACTTTCTTGGCTTGCGCACAAAGCTCATGAAGTTGAGAGGAAAGAGACCGTAGAGGAAGGTGAAATAGTGCATCAGAGTCGGCGGCGGGCAATCAGGGTAGTCCATGGATGGCTGCACCTGCTCCCAGGCCTGTTCCGAGTCGGCATCGGTTTCGTCATCCCCCTCTTCGCTATCGTCGTCTTGCATGTCCATATCACCGCCTTTCTCGTCGGTGTTACCCAACTTGTCCCAACATAGTATCCGACAGTAGACCAGGAACATTTTCTCGAGGTGGTGATCAGAGGTCAGCGCTCCGCAAATGTGAGGCAGGAACATGATGAGGACGACGAGGGCGAGCTCGATAACGGTGGACGAGTTGTCTATGAGCAGGCATTTCTCAAGGTTCTGGATGAGCGGGGTCTCGAGGACGAGGTGGAGGTGCGGCGGCTGGAGGCGGACGAAGGTACTGAGTAAGTTCAAGGCCTGTATGCGATGCTGCTTCTGTAGGAGGAGGTTGTCGAGTGTGAGGAGGAGGACCTGGAAGTATTAGTCAAGGCCGTCATACTGAGGGAAGGCACTCACCTTGGGCATCTTGCGCCCAAAATCGACCAGGACAGCTTCGAGCTCATGGGCCACAAACTCGTTCTCTGGCCTCACGGCATCTTCAGGCGAGGCAGGCACGTTGGTCCGCGCCAAGTATGCGTCGAGTATCTTCTTGGTGAAGAGGGCGGACAAGCGCGCGTGCTCGCCATCTTTGTCCACCTCATTGTCGTACACCAGAATGCTCTGGATAAAGGCCCTCGCATCTTCAATCTCGCTCTTCTTGTAGCCTATGCCGTCGATGACAGGCCTCAGCGCCGAGTTCCACCAGGCGGTCAAGCGCGCCTCGCCCGTTATCGCGGGCCGAAGCAGTCGCAGAGCTGATAAGAAGGCGCCGCGCTTTTCGGGATTATTGGCGACGTGGCGGAGGTATAGCGCGTGGAGATCATCGTGGAAGCGCTGGGAGTCGTGGTCGTCAATGTCGTCATAGCGCTCGAGGAAGGCTTCTATGGTCGCATAGAGCTCGTCGGGGAGAGGGTATGGGACGGTAGCGGCCGAGAAGGTCGTGTTCAGAGCCTTCAGCGACTCGCGCATGGAACTGAGCATGTTAGCGATTCCGTCTGAAGTATTACTAAGGCTACCAAGGCATCAGGTATGGCAACGTACCCTGACATGGTGTCGTATATCTCCACTTGCCGTGGTACAGATGCGCTACGGCAGGCGACGTGCAGGTATATAGGTGTTTACGGGTATGGGAGCAACGTCTCGGATAGATGCACGAGGGTCCAGCAGGCAGTAGGCATGTCACTGGGCATGCAGGTCCGGTCTGGGGAGCCAAAGCTTTTTGACAGCGCAAGTGCGTGGGGTGAAGATGAGGGACCAGCGAGCCGCAGCAGAGGGTTCAATGGCTCCGCCTGCTCACTTTTGCTCGGAGGTGCTTTTGCGGGAGCATGCCTCAGTGATGCGCGGCGCTATCGACCAACCCCAGAGATGCGCCAAAACAAATCTCACGTCTCACTGCCGGCGTCCCAAGAGCGCGCAGGGCCTGTTGGGGTTGATGATGCTAACCCGAGGTGCAGCGCCCAGTCGCGGCTAGAGGCATGCGAGAGGTGCCCCGGGGCCGTGCGTCATGGCCCTGCAAGCCACCACAAACGGCCTCGAAGCCATCATGCTTGCTTGTGCCCACCACCCCTGAAGCCATTCCATTTGCCTTCGGCCCACTCTCACCAATTCCGTGTGTAACTATCAATCGTCAATCAGCGCCCAGTCAGACAATTACCAGACACGATTGCTATCCTGATTAGTCTTGGGAAACATCGCGTGATGCATGCTCAAACACGATCAAACATCGCCAACGTATCTCTGCCATCCTATCACGGCCACCTGCCCATATCCGTCACTTTGGAAATCCCTGGGCGGCCCTGTTTTCTCACGAATTACTCCACCCAGTTCTGCGCAGCCCAAGTGGACTCGAGGAGCCATGCCATCACGGCAGCCGCTCGCCGCACCTCCAATCAGGTGTGTCAGAGAGAAACCCTTCCAACTCGAGTCTGTACCCATCACATAAAACCACCCAATGATTACATGTGTCAGTCATAGCTTATCTTCCGCTCCGGTCATACCTCTATATCAGAAATATTCCGGCACGGCGCATCAGGGCTCGGATCAGGAACTATGCCACATGTGGCAGCCCTGCATGCACTCTACCTCAGTCTTTCACATGTCCAACTGCAGCACACTTTACTCTTTCCAGACCAATCACTAACCGATTAGTTTCTTCGCTGTTTGGGAGTAGTTGAGGTCGATCGCTCTCCACTGGAAAGCACAACAGAATAGACTTTGAACGAGTCGTGCCGTGGAGCTACGCGGGATGCGCCGAAGCTTCTGACTTCTATCCATCCAGGCTATCGCCAATTACCGGTACCGACAACACGGTAGCCTCGTACCCATACCGCGATGTGCAGCCTTGCCCCGTAACTCTCTCTTATCGCAAGGATCCCGTCGTGCTTCCGCCAATGGACTCAAGGTAGCCCATCCGCGCCATCCCGCCGTCTCATTACATTTTCCATTGCACCTTCTCTATCAAGAACAGCGAATCCAGCGCCCTCGGCTCTGCTTCCGATCGGCTTCATAGTAATACCGCGCAATCAGGGTTCGCAAACGTGATCGCCCCCGTGGCAGCAGGCCGCCAGAGGGGCTACGCAGACCCAACGGCTTGGCCAAACCCTTGCGCTGGTCGATCATAACATGAGCTTGTGCACCGAGACGACATACCTGCAAACCTAGTCGAAAATCGCATTATGCACATTGATCACTCTAATTCTTCCGGACTGTTGACCTAGACGACATGGGATCTCGACTCAATTCTACAGTACTGCGCCTCAGATAGTCTCGTTCAAAGTGCTTCAATATAGCACCATGTACTCAGACATGCGTCAATCACACATCTGCAACACCGTTTTGTGCGGCGTCGCTTAACCGGCTAAGAGCGTACGCAGGCACATGCAGCATTGAGAAACGCTAGATGAGCTCATTCGTTTCAATGTGAGGCACAGTAAGCACGCTTCAGGTACAGCTCGGAAACTTTCCCTTGAACACTTATGCATTGACTATCTGAAAGTGGTCCCTACCATCTACTTGCCCGCTACGCCGGCACCCAGCCTCGGCGCGGAGCCTACCCTTCTACTCAGGAATTGCCTATGAAGGCACCGCAACGACCTGGAACTGGTAGTTGCAAAGCGGCTTCGAGTTCGTCACCTCAATGCTTCCATATCCGCCTCCCACCATGGTGCTTCCATCCCACACCTCCAACTGCACCTTACCTGGGACCAACTTCTCCAGCCCAGTGAACTTGAACTTGTTGAATCCCGGCTTGAGCGAAGTCTTGTTAAGCTGCTTTCCACCAACGTTGACGACAGCGACAAGGTTTGTCTTGCCCTGGGGGACCAGTAAGACGCCAGATACGGCGTCTTCAGCGGCCTTGGCGATGTCTCCAGACTTTGGCAGCTTGTCGGCGGAGCAAGAGCCTCCAACAGTGAGAGTGTGGTGCCAGAAAGTGCCTTGGACAGCCTTGCCACCAGTAGGGTACATGTTCGCTGTTGTACGATCGCCACGCTTCCATGCGGAGATGAAAGGTTGCAGAATCTGCCAGTAGCCAGTGTGATCGTACCCTTCTACGATAGCCGGTGTGTCTCCTTGAAGGGGAGTTGGGTGAAGGCGTCCCATGTAATGACCCTCGCCTGCGTCGTTCCAGCTCTGGAGCTGCACCATGTCGGGCTGGACACTAAGGATCTGACCGAACCTGTTCTCGAGGTTGTCCTCGCCGCGGCGGTACCAGTTGTCTGAACCCATGTGCTTGAACTGTACGGGTGAGATGCCCATCATGAAAAGGTTGCCCGCCTTGTCGGCGGCGGATTGGAAAACCTTGTCTGTCGCTGCTGATACGGCCACTTTGCCCTGATCCGTCGAGGGCCACGAGTTCCAGTTGAATACACCATCAAGAGATTTACGGTTGTTGAAGAAGTTCTCGGTTGGGTTGTAGATTGTGTAGAAACCAGGGACAATCAGCACGTCACCCACCTTCGATTTGAAGTTGGCCCAATCACTGTCGGCGACACCTTCGCCACCAAAAGTCGATAGGAGAGGCTTGTTCTTGCCATCGGAAGGATCCTTCATCTTGAGGTAGGACGTACGGCCCTTGTGGTCGTTGAAGTAATCGACGTATTCCGATGGGTTATGGATGTAGCCAGCGGCGTGGTCAAAGGAGAAGAAGAGGCTGAAACCGCCAATGTAATCGGCGTGGTCGAACATGTATTGCACAGTCGTTTGGGAATAACCCGCGAACCGGTCTGATCATTGTTAGGACGGCCCTGGACTGAAGTTTCAGTGGTAGAAGCCACTCACCGAAATTGAGCGCGAAGCCGTTCAGACCAAGGTCCCTCGCATCCTCGATGTCCTGCTTGACTTCTTCGAGCTTGAGCTCTCCAACCATGTAATGAGCCACGCTTTACGGAACTGTCAGTACACGTCGACTCTTGCAGGCGAAATAACTTACATCGGCCTATCAACAACGGCGCGCGGCGTAACGCGGCCAGCAACGGCGCTGGCCAAAAGGCCAACGGCAAAAGTTGGAATAAAGCGCATACTGAAAGAACACTCAAGTCGTTCACGAATGTCAAGCCAGTGATGTGGATGGTGAGCAACCAGACGGCCACTTCAGTTGACTTTATAGACATCGAGTGCCGAATGATGCAAGGCCGTTCGACCGGCAACCTGCGTAAGGCCACCGACTACACAGCCCGTAGCTGCTGGCACCTAGGCAGCCTCGCCGTTCAGACTTGCAAACGGCACGAGATGAAAACTAGGCCTCCTGGCAGGGATGGTTACACTGATGGTAGTAGTTTTAGCCCCGCCGTCTTTTCCACTTTACCCGTATCCACACACACGTACGCACACTCTTTTTGCGCAAGATGTATTTCCTACTCTTGACCCTCTATACCGCGGCTTCATGGTTGAGCACAACTTTTTCCCTTCCGTCTTGATATTCAGATGGCAATTGGATCGAGTAAGCCGACGTTCCTGTGGTAATTGCAACGCGAATGCGAAACAATGACAAGGACCGTCCCGCGCATGTCCGCAACGCCACAGGACGATTAGGGCCACCAGCTGTGGAACCTGCAAGGCAGTATCGGATTTTTAGGAGCTGCCGTGTTTAGATCATCCAGACTGTTAGCCTCTGTTCTAGAATAACGCATCCACTGCACCTCTACTCGGTGTTTTGCGCGACGGGCCGTGATTGTGGATGAAGTGTGGATGGGAGGATAGAAACTTGGCCAATCGGCTGCTAGTGCTGGGCATCATTGTTCCTCGGAATCCCGATTTTTTGCTGCACTACGGTCCGCTTTCACGATGGGGGCCGGTGGGTTGATCAGGAATCAGATCATATTGCCGTGATTTTGCATGCTGGTGCCGCGATGTGATGCATGGAATGTGGGCATCACTTAAGCGATTGTCCGAGTACGGGTGTATGATGCGACTTCACCTCGGCGAGCATCAGTACCTACTGTAGGTACTATCGGTTATCAGGCACCTCTTTTGGATGTTTTTATCCACCTATCGATCTACTGCGGGAGGGAGGACCTAGCCGCTGTATCACTACAAACTACGTCTTAGGGCCGGACAGGTCGGCGAGTATGAGCCTCGGTCGTTGAGAAGTGGAACGATACGAGACGAGTAGAATGTTATGACATACGATGCCAGAACGTTCAGTATTGTAACTACGACATGAGGTGATGTCACATCTTAGAGGTCAGAAGTCGACTGGCTGAATCGGAAAAAAGATTCTGACCGCTTCCGTCCACCTGGTGCCCTTCACTCAACATCAATCCTTCCTTTCTGTACTCTCAAGGAACGCATCTTGTCTTCATCCTCCCTTTGTCCCATCGCCTACTGCTTATCGCCCCTCTCGTGCAGGCCCTCTTTCCCTCCTTGCACCTTTGTCTCGCCCCCAATTCCCGTCGTCCGAGTTGGTTGCGCCTGGTGGTCTGGCTGCTTCGCCGGGTGGTCGTCGCCGGTCTTGTGCTCATCAGGCGACGCACTGGATTGCTTGTCGGTGTTTTGCGTGTCGGAACGCATCTTGGCGTTGGGTGCGGCTGATGAGTTTTCAGAAGGGTCTGGGAGGTTGGAGGCAGGGTTGGGTGTGTCCATCAGCTTTGCATGGCTGGGTGTAGTGGTGAAGGCGCGGAGTTGAGACGTGATGGGACGCTGGAGTGCGCGGAGGCGGAGGCTGATAGAGGACATAGTGGGTAGATGGTCGTGTGTTGCGTTGTCTATTTGTACAAGGCGCTCAGTCGTATGTTATTTGGATTCGTAAAACTAAATGATCTCCGGAAAGTGTTGTTGGAATGGTGATAAAGCAGGACGGGTGTTGTGGGTTCAATCGTTGCACAAAGATGTGATGTCATCGTGACCGCTTCGGCAGTGGCGAAGATCCATAATTTCCTTAGAAGTTGTGGGATAACAGCTTTGAGTTCCCTGATATAGCTCTGAGCATCGAATAAGTACAGAAACGCGATTGATGAACTGACGCGAACAAGACGCGTCCAAACGCCAGCCAGGTGTGCTAGCTACACGTGCTTCGTGCATTAGCGCTGCCTGACTGTGCCGCATCGGGTTGCGCGCCAACTCCCTCAGCACTTGGGATGGAGCAGAGCCTCCCAATCAACGAAATGTTCAAGAAAGCTTTTTGGAAACGAAAAGAACGGCCAATCACTGCATCGCTTTCATCTGTCGCAAACGAAATGCCAGAATTTGTACTTTTCGGAGACTCGCTCACCGAATGGAGCTTTGACGAGGAAACGCAAGGCTTCGGGTTGTTTCTTAGGCAACAGTACCAACACAAGGTTCGCATCATCAACGAAGGTAACGCGAATGAGTTCCTCCCACCATCTTTCATCCCACGTTCCGTATACACCCTTCCTAGTTCATTCTTTTCCATTTGAGTAATCAGGCGCACTGCAAACATGGCTAAGATTGTCTTGTTTGGCGCATCCATGACCGAGTGGAGTTTCAAAGAGAAGACGCAGGGGATTGGATGGTTTCTCGAGAATAAGTTCCAAGGCAAGGCAAGGGTTGTGAATGAAGGTACTGCGGCATGATGTGGTAGCACGTTGAGCAGCAAAAAACAACATTGAATGCCCAGTTCCGATGCTGACAGGCACGATAGGCAAAGCAGGGTACACATCCCAATTCATATCGATGAACAGCGCGCTCACCAACTACGCAGCTACACGTCAACCCGTCTGAAAGATGACTTTGCCCGTATAATCAGCGAGGCAACAGCCCCAGAGGCAGCACCGACCCTCCTCTTCACCATCTTCCTCGGTGCGAACGACGCCTGCTTCATCGGCGAGAAGGAGTATGTTCCATGGCCCACCTTCTCGGCAAACATACGGGAGTTTCTCGACACCATCCTCACGGAGCAAGCTATGGAGAACACAAAGATCGTTTTGATCACGCCCCCGCCCATCAACGGGTCTGTGGTAGATACTGGAGAAAGCAGATCTGCAAGAGAAATACAAGTAATCAATGAATCGCGAAAGGAAGGACCGAGGTACAAGACTTACATGAGTAAAAAGAGATATGCAGATGGGCTTATGCAGATCGCGAATGAGTACGAAGAAACGGGCAGAGTTGTTGGGCTCAACTACTGGCAGCACATGGTGGACGCAGTCGTTGCAGAAGAAGGATGGGAGTACGATGCGGATGTGCCGCCGGGATGCGGCCTACTAGGCGCAAAGTCGTTTCCAGCGGGCTGGTTTACAGATGGGCTGCATCTTAATGTCAAGGGATACGGGGTATTGAACAAGGAACTGTACAAGCTGGTGACGGCAAAGTGGCCAGAGTTAGCAGCCGAGAAGTTGTAAAGTCTTCCTTTAATTGTGCATTTGTTTTGCTGGGTATCTGATGTGCCACTCAAACCACGCTCAACCTCTGTTCAAGGTGTTACCCGAGCCTTTGGGGTTTGCCTCCACATACTCATCCCATGCTCGCTGCTTCATCGTCTCTTCGTCCGCAGCGACAAGATCGTCCTCGTTCGGTTCGGCCTGGATCTCAGACTGTGGGCCACCACCCTCGATCATGCCACCTCGGCGCTTCTCTTCCTCTAAATACTCGTCGATGGTCATAGTTGGGAGGCTATGATCCGGACGGAAAACGTTCTTCTTCAGGGTTTGGCGGCTGTCCAATAGCGTAAAAGGCCGCATGGGTTTGCCGTCGCCGCTCAAGATGGGGCCGGAATATCTCAGGCCGCCATACTGACCATCGAGGCGTTCAGAGTATCCGTCCTTATCTCTGCCGTCCTGTCGGCCGTCTGGCGCTTGCTGTTCCTGTCCCTGTGGGGGCGCGGGTGGGGCCAGCGAGATGATGTGCAGTTCTTGAGCCATCGACTCCAACGAAGCGAAAGTCTGATGCACCATGAAAGCCAAGTTGGTCAAATGCAACTCTCGTACCACTTGCTCATCCTGCTCGGCAAGTTTGGGATTCTGTCGCAGATACTGTTGTTGCAGGCCTTAGCTCTAGGTTCGACCCTTGAAAGCAAAGTTAGTGTGGACACGTACCTCTAGTTTCCGCTTCAATTCCTTCTCCTCCCTGAATCGCGAAATCTTCGCATCCCGTCTCGCAGCGGCATCCCGCGTGTTGGCGGTAGAGAAGTTGTTCTTATCTTCCGCGTAGACTTCGAAGAGCTTCGCATCTGCCTTGCCAAGCACATCATAGGAATCTAAGAGCTTGAGAAATCGCTCATAGTGTCCCCGTGCCCGCAGTAGGTTCTGCTTCCGTAAGGCTACGTCGGTGTTAAAGATCTTCTGTACGAGTTCTGCCAAGTGGTAGTTTATCGCCATGTATCTAGAAGGGTAAGCGAGGACTCTTGTGCACGGTATCATGCGGTTGTATCATAACACGTACTGTAGATCAGACGACGATATGTCTTCCAGGGTCTCATTTGGACTGAAAAGCGACACCTGCTCGGATATTTTCAGGCATTCTTCATATGTGGCGATTGTCGCGCTAAGGTTTTCCTGGTAGGTCGGACTGTTTGCTTCGTACGACGAAGAGAGGTCTTCGCGCGCCCTCTCCGCCTTTGAGAATAGACCTCGTAGACTCTGCGGCTCGTTCGTCATGGTAGTGGCGTTTGAGCGGGAAATTGTCGTGATGTTGAGGGAATGGCAGTGGGGACACACGTGAGAGCGTGAGCAGATGCTGATGAGTCAGCATTGCCCCTTCCCATTTCGCGTACCCCGCTATCGCCGCCAACACACCGCGTCTGTGAAAGCGGTAACACGACGGTAACAAACGCCTGGTATGCTGCGAAGTGTCCCCGGCATGTTCAAACGGCTGCGGTTGTTTGATTGGGTCAGCACGAGCGGCTTCGGCTGAGCACGCGGCGTCGGGTACCTACACTGTTTGTTTGCTCTCTTGCCCGAAGCAAGACGCGCGACAGTTGCGCAGATACCAGCAGCACGCTCTTGCCCTCGATTTTCAATCACACTCACCATAGGCTTTACCTCTTCAGACCTGTGATAAGCTTCGACTGCACCCACGGCACTGCGCCACGACAAACATGAGTTGGATAATATACGAGAAGGACGAACACTACCACTCCTTCGACGAGTCGTCCTCCTCTTCCGATTCTGACGTCGAAGAGACCGCTACCAAAGATGAGAGCCAGCGAGGCTCAGATGAAGACCCAGATGGCGATGATGACACTGCACGTACGCATGGGCCGAAGACGACATCGGAAAGGCGCAGAGCGCAGAATGACGTCCTGAAAACTTTTGCTGCTAACATCAGTTCTCACTTGACACAGAAGGAAGTTGATGATGCTGCTGCAAAGACCGCCAACGAAGAGCAGCTTTCGATCCGCGACATACTCGCCAGACAAGAGGGCACAGTCCGCATCACGAACCCTCGCGACTATCAGACTGAACTGTTTCAGAGGGCCAAGAGTGAGAACGTAATAGCGGTCTTGGACACTGGCTCCGGCAAGACTCACATCGCAACTCTACTTCTCCAGCATGTTCTCAATGACGAGCTCGAACGCCGGGCCGCAGGCGGCATCCACAAGATCGCCTTCTTTCTAGTCGACTCGGTCAACCTGGTCTTCCAACAAGCAAATGTCTTGCGTTGCGGCCTCGATCAGACAGTGGAGGGCATATGCGGCGCCATGGGCGCATCGCTTTGGTCTAAAGCCACTTGGCAGAGCCATTACGAGAAGAACATGGTAATTGTATGTACAGCCGAGGTTCTTGTCCAGTGTATGATGCACTCCTTCATTACCATGCCTCAGATCAATCTCCTCATCTTCGACGAGGCTCACCATGCCAAGAATAACCATCCTTACGCTCGCTTGATGAAGGACTACTACGTACACGGATTGGACCCCTCCCATCGACCTCGGATCTTTGGTATGACAGCTTCTCCGATTGACACAAAGGGACTGTCGGTCGATCATATCAAAGAAGTTGCCAATGACCTTGAGAAGCTACTTCATTCCAAGATCGTCACTACTTCGGAGGGCGCTCTCGCTTCGAACAGCATCAGCAGGCCTACCGAGGAGATAGCAGTGTATGCACGGCTACAAGATCAATTTGAGACGCCTCTGCACCGAGAGATAAAAGCAAAGTATGGGGACATACCGGCATTCAAGAAACTGTTCTTGGCCTCCAAGCGCTACGGTTCCGAGCTCGGACGTTGGGCGTCTGACATGTATTGGTCTTTTGCTTTCGCTGACGAGCAGAGCCGCAAGCTCGAAGATCGCGAGCACCTGAAGCATAATAAGGCTAAGCAAGACGACGCCGCGCAGGAGTGGGATGCCCAGGCCAAGCGCTTAAAGGAAGCGGCCACATTCGTACAACAGTTCGATTTCGGTTTGTGTACCTTGAGCGACAAAGATTTGAGTTCCAAAGTTCTGAAACTTCACCACTGGCTCCAGCTATACTACGAACGCGGCGATGAAGCACGCTGTATCGTCTTCGTTGAGCAGCGGCAAACCGCTCGACTGCTTCAACTCATCTTTTCCCAGATCGGTGGGCCGAACCTCCGCTGCAACGTGCTCGTCGGTGTCAACAATCGTGCCGGAGAGCATAACATCTCTCTACGAAATCAGATCCTCACAGTCGCCAAGTTCCGTCGCGGCGAACTCAATTGTCTGTTTGCTACATCTGTGGCGGAAGAGGGCCTTGATATCCCCCAGTGCAACCTTGTCGTACGGTTCGACCTCTATCGCACCATGATAGCGTACGTACAGTCTCGGGGCCGAGCACGGCACAGGAACTCGAAGTATCTTCACATGATTGAACATGGCAACGACGACCACCGCAGCCGGGTTTTCGACGTCAAATTCGAGGAAAGCATCATGAGGAAGTTCTGCAAAGCACTTCCCCAAGATCGTCAGATTGGCGGAGGCGAGATTGACATGTTGTCGTTCGAAGACAAGATGTATCCAAGCTTCGTTACAAAGTCTGGTGCAAAGCTCACATATCGCTCGAGCTTATCCATTCTCAATCACTTTGTAGCAACGCTTCCCGGCCCTGACAGACAGACTATGCTTCAGCCGACCTATGTCATCAATCCAGAGGTCAATTACGACGCTCAGGATCCGCAGCGGCGTGGGTTTGTTTGCGAGGTAATGTTACCGGAACATGCACCGGTAGTCTCGGTAACTGGCGACGTTCAGAGCAAGAAAACGATCGCGAAATGCTCTGCCGCTTACAAGACATGCCTTATGCTACACAACAAAGGCTATATGGATGACAATCTCCTCCCAACAACATGCAAAAGCCTGCCCGCCGGAAGGAATGCACTCCTAGCACTTAGCGAAAAGAAGAAGGGTATGTACTCTATGTTGATCAAGCCAGATTTTTGGAAGGTGGACCGTGGAGTCGTTCCTACGCGTCTATATCTGACCGTCATCGACCTTGACGCTGGCTTAGACCGACCTCATCAGCCTATGGGTCTCCTCACTCGCATCCCATTCCCTCAGATGCCGCATTTCCCGATCTACCTCACAGATGGAAGGCCCTCCAATGTCATATCCAAATCCGCCTCGACTCCGCTACCTGTATCGCCCGAGATGATAGAAGCTCTCACGAGCTTTACTCTACGCATATACGAGGATATTTACAACAAGGTGTACGAGAAAGATGTTCAGAAGATATCTTATTGGGTTGTTCCTGTAATTCCGACACAGCTGTCTTCTGTTTCGTCTGCCACGTCTCTCGATCAAATTCTAGACGTGGAGCAAATTCGCAAAGTCTGCGAAGAGCCCACATGGAAGTGGACACCCGAGACCAAGTCTGAGGATCTGGTAGATCGTTACTTCGTAGATCCAATGAATGGAGGTCGACGCTACTACTCCAACGGCCTCGCAACCCATCTCAAGCCACAAGATCCGCCTCCTAAAGGCCTACCTCGGAGTGGACAAAAGTTCATGGCCACTATTCTGGACTACAGCGACAGCAGGTGGGCGAAGAGTAGAGACATGTCAAAGTGGCACGCCTCGCAGCCCGTTCTTGAGGTGGAAAAGATTCCTTTCCGCCGGAACCACCTTGCATGCGTCGAGGATAAAGAGACGGGTGAGTTCGATGACTTGAAGACTTACATCTGTCCAGAGCCTCTTCACGTCTCCAATGTAAGAATCTCGTCGGCTTGTGCGTATGAAAACATTGCTAACAGCACAGCTTGCGATACGGTTTGTAGTCATGTGCTACGTATTACCGGCGGTCCTTCATCGTTTTGAGAGTTATCTCATTGCTCTGGACGCCTGTAAAGTCCTCGGTCTCGACGTCAGCCCTGCGCTGGCTTTGGAAGCTCTTACTAAAGACTCCGACAACTCCGAGGAGCACGGCGAAGAAAAGATCAACTTCAAGAGCGGAATGGGTCCGAATTATGAACGGTAGGTACTGAGATTACTCACGATCTCACCTGCTAATACGGTACAGTCTTGAATTCCTAGGTGATTGCTTCCTGAAAATGGCTACCTCACTTTCTGTCTTTGTCCAGCAGCCAGATGAAAGCGAGTTTGAGTTCCACGTCCGCCGCATGGAAATGCTCTGCAACAAGAACCTGATGGAGACTGCAGTGGGAAAGAAGCTGGTGGTCTCCGCAGATGGAACTGAACGCAATCTTCAGCTATACCGCTTCATTCGCACGGAAGCCTTCTCAAGGTATGTACGGTGTATTTTCTCGTTGATATACACGATCTAATCTGCGTAGACGCACATGGTACCCTGAAGGAGTGAAGCTCATGAGGGGTAAGGGTTTGAAGAAGACTGAAGACGACTGGCTGAAGCTCACGCATAATCTTGGCGACAAGAGCATCGCGGACGTCTGTGAAGCCTTCATCGGTGCTGCTTTCCAGCAACACTACCAAGGCGGGCGATGGAACCCCGAAGACTGGGACGAAACTGTCAAAGCTGTCAAGCTTTTCGCCAACAGTCAAGATCATATGATGTCGAGGTGGTCAGACTACTACGACGCTTATCAAAAGCCCAAGTACCAAGTTGTCGACGCCACCGCAGCGATGGTCAATACCGCTTGCAAGATTGAGCTAGTGCACCCATATCACTTCAAGTACCCACGTCTCCTTCGATCGGCCTTCGCCCACCCCTCATACCCGTACATGTATGAGAACATACCCAACTATCAGCGACTTGAGTTTCTGGGTAAGTCTTCATGCAAATCTTGTCCATGCAATTACGCTGACCTACTATTCTCATTCTTACAGGTGACTCTCTTCTCGACATGGCGTTCATCATGCACCTCTACTACAAGTACCCAGACAAGGACCCTCAGTGGCTCACGGAACACAAAACACCCATGGTATCCAACAAATTCCTAGGCGCTGTATGCGTAAAGCTCGGCTGGCATGTCCACATCAAGCAGAACACCGCCATTCTGAGCTCGCAAATACGCGACTACGTCTTGGAGGCCGAAGAAGCAGAGAGAGAAGCGGATGGCGCCGTTGACTATTGGGTCACCATCAGCGAACCACCAAAGTGCTTGGCCGACGTGATCGAAGCATACACAGCCGCCATCTTTGTTGATGCAGAGTTTGACTTCAGCGTCGTGCAGGACTTCTTCGACAGGCATCTCAAGCCCTTCTTTGAGAACATGACTCTCGACTCTTACGAGAACTTCGCTTCCAACCACCCTACCACACGTCTCAGTCGCCTCCTCGGCATCACCTTCGGCTGCAGCGAATGGCGCATGGGTGCCATGGAGACGGAGACGCTCATCCCCGGTAAAGGCAAGGCTGTGGTCGCTATGGTCATGATTCATGGAAAGGTATGGTTCCATTCCCTGGGCCAGAGCGGCAGGTATGCGCGTGTGAGGGCCAGTCACGGAGCGTTGGAGAAACTGGATGGGCTTCCGCCTTATGAGTTCAGGAAGAAGTATAAGTGTGATTGCGTGCACGAGGGAGAGGGCGAGGGCGAACAGGATGAGGTGGTTCTCAAGGCGAAGGAGGAGCTGATGAAGGAGGCTATGGGTCTGAGCATCTAGGCCTGGCTGTTAGGATGTCCTTTCTTTTGATATGAGGCTATGAGGGATGCGCAGCATACGGGGTCAACATCATGATGCGATGCAGGCTATGCAGTATAGTGTATGGCCATGGCCTCCAGACTACGGAAACTACCATTGATTAATACACAAATGAAACCAATAGTCTCGACGATGAGCGTTGCTGTCACGAAGGCTAATCCAGCGACCAAGTTTGGTCTATACGTGGGCTTACCAAACATTCAAGTAGCCGTGAATCATGCAGCAAGACCAAGTCAGCCTGAATACTCAAACAAAGCATATCAAAGTGAAGGTGTGAAGAAATACTCTCTTGTGCGAGGAAGTAATATTGCGTGTAGACGCCGGAAACAGTGCGTCTCAAACGATAAGGGTATACAGATCCCAAGTATGTACAAAAATAGCAACGCCATTAGTTTCTCTTCTGATTTGACTTCATTAATTCATTCGCATGCCCCTTCCGTCCGCCCTCGTCCTCCAGAATGTCGCAATTATGATGCATAGTAGACTGAACCAAAAGCTTGGCCGCTCTGTAAAACGCGGACAATAAACCTACAAAGTGAGCATATACACGAACACGCCCATCATAGCTAGTCCGAAGTTGAAAGAGATGTGCGAAGCTGCCCCTTCGGTCTCCGAAGGCTGCGCCGCGTCGCCCGTCTGACTGGGGTTGTCATCGTTGCTCGAGTCGGTGCCGCTGGGACTAGTGTTCTCGCCGCCAGGAGTGTTAGACCCATCGTTGGACACAACATTGAGCGACAAGTCGTTGATTTGCTGGCCGTTGCTACCAGTGACCTTCTGTTTGACGTTGGTATCACCGATATCGACCAGCGCGCCATTTGTTGGGTTCTCGATACCGTTGTCGATGAGATCCTGGCATCCAGGGCAGACAGCCGGAATCGTGAAGTTCTTGCTAAATGCTTCCGCGGTTATGAGGCTGCCGTCGCATTCGGGGGCTTCGAGCTCGGTAGACTGAGGATTGGTTGCCTCGAGAGCGCTAAGATCTAGCTTGTTGAATTGGCTCTGGAGGTTGTCGTAGTCCTTCATCAGTGCAACGGAGCCGTCTTGGTCAATTTCTACTAGACCGTAGTTTGCCTCCTCATGGGAGTACTCATAGACAAGACCACCAGAGAGCGCTCTCATCTGGTCGCCGTAAAGGGCCTGAACTTCGTCGAAGTCGCGAGGCATGATACGGTTGCAGCCGTATTCGCTGAAAAAGACAGGGACAGCAGAGTCGGCGAACATGGTGGCCAAGCCATCATATGTGGAAGTCTGATAGTTGTCGCCATTGCACCAGCTGTAGGAGTTGAGACCAAAGAAGTCGGAGGATGACTCGTCCTGGTCGTGGATACACTGCATGTAAGCCCAGGTATCATGCAAGATCTCGCGGACATCTGCAGCAGAATAGCCAACAGGGATGGTGCGGTCGGAATGGTTCTTGATGTAGTTCTTCATGTCGCGCTGGACAGCCTGGGTTTTTGTCAGCTTATCTTATCGTGAATCATTGGCTAAGGCAATCGAACGTACCCGGATATACTGGGGGTTGAACTCAGCAGTGCTCAGATCATTCATGACCTCGTTTGCAGAGAAGAAAGCCATGGTGTTGGGGAATCCCTTGAAGTTCTCAATGATACCAAACGCGCGAGTAAGGTAGTCGCTGTTGTAGGATGTCCATGGTTCCGCGCGGTTGATGCTCTCTCCGGGTAAGGGCGAGTTGACATCAAGGATCATGTAGATGCCGGCCGCGTTGAAGATGGAGGCACACTTGGAGTGGTCAAGCGTAGGGTCGAGATTGTAGACACGAATTGTGTTCACACCCAGCTTCTGCATGAGGGTTGCATCTCGCAGACATTTGTCGCCATCTGTGAGAGGATCTTCGCTGTTTGTGGGATTGTATGCTCCCTGACCTCCGGGCTGGTAGTCGACACCAATGATCATCACCCGCTTGTTCGTGCCGGTGTTGATGAAGTCCTGGCCACGGATCTCAACTGGCTGGACGGCATAGGCGATGGATGAGAAGAGCGCGGGGAGCAGCGCGGCTACGCGACTGAACTAAGAGAAACGTTAGCGCGGCTCACGATGCAGGGAACATGGATTGCATGCTGTAGGCATGGAACTTACAGAAGGCATGGTAGCGAAGGACAATTTCACAACAACGACGGTAGAGCGAAAGACGTAGAAATCCTTGGGCAATTGCAGCGACGCCTGTCTCGCCTTATAATCCTTCAGATTGCCGCTTGGGTTGGTATCGCAATGTTATGCACCAAGACTAGTTGCAGTGGATCTTGGCCGCGGAGGAGCAGCTAAGACGGAATCGCTTGCCGGCTACTGTGCTGTGATTCGAGCGAGAAAAACGAACGGCGTGCATATGTCGCCCGCTGGGAATGATAAAAACCAAAAGTGACAAAATCGGCTGGAGAAACAGGATGAGAGAGACAGTGGCACAGCGAACACAGATATGTGTCTGTTCCTCGCCAGCCGCAAGCAGGCAGTGGCTCCCCAGGACAGCGCTTTAGGAAGCTGTGCTTACTGCTTCGTCCCATCTCGGCAAGGATGACTTCCATGATAGCAGGAGCGGGATGACCTTTGGACCCACGCCGCTGCCATTGCCAATGCGACCCGCCCGGAAAGCTCTGAAAGTGCCAACTCTAGCGTACTCCGGGTGGGCCGTGAACTCGTCCTGGCTTTACCGACACGCTTGTTCTTTGCCGTTCCAAGCTTATTCCCAAAGTATCAGGAATATGTCCAATCTGTGAGCCGTGTCGGACGCTGGAGGTGTAGGATCGTGACGCCATTGTCAAAACAGGTGGCAAGGATTGCTGCACTCCAGCCACTTCCTGCATCTGCGCACCAATCATCGCGGTCAAAGCTCCGACATGCACCTTGGCAATGTTTACTGCACATGCGGGAGATATGGCGCGCCTGAGACTTGAGGACATGTCTATGCTGTCAGATCGCTGCTAAGCTAAATTGTTCGTGGTTGAGGTCAATGTATCATCGAGTCCGTCTTCACTGATTGCGCCAGCTCGACCACGGAAACAGGCGGACAAAATCGTATTCTATACATGTCGTCGGCTAAGGTAGTTTCTGCACTTGGGCTCAACGTCTACTCCAGGTGGATACAAGTGGGCCCTCTTAGCCGCGAAGTTTAGGCCTCGAGGTCCACACGCATGAGCTTGTCCTGCTTGGGCGGTTTTGAACGCCGAAGCTATGCATTTTAAGAACGCCATACGAACAAGGCAACAATTTGTAGATCGTTCCGACGCTTACCCACCAGGCGAGGGTCGACTTTATCGGCAACGATCTTGCGTCGGCGGTTGAGGCGCCAGTTGCCTGACGTTTGGCTACCTGGTGTGTGCAAAGCTGCGAACTGAAAACAGTGTAACAAGCTTTATGGCACTCTGCCTCATCCTGTCATGTCCACGTCTTGTGCCTTCCTTTTCATACCGCTTTCGCTCGCCTCGATCTGACCCCGGAACTTGGCTTGTAGCGCTTCGAGCAGGACCTCTTTGACCACCGCGAGACTGCCGACAGCGGCATGCGTGGCTCCCTCGATCAAAGCATCTGGATCTGAGCCGACGTCCCCCTTCATCCATATCTCTGTGATCTCGTCTCTTGAAGCCAGGTATCCGACTACACAGGCAGCAACAACCTCCTTGTGTTCTGCTGGACAGGGATCAAGTATTCTAGCCAGCTCCTGCTCTTGTCTTGACTCGGGGTTTCGCGTGATTGCGGCAACACCTCCACACACCACATCGACGCAGTCTATCCCGGCGTCCGTTATGGCAGCGCTGGCGACCGTGATGCAGCCTGCTAGCACGTTCAAGAGACCCCATCCACTCCCAGCCGCGTTGCCGCCGCTAGCAGAGTCTCCCCACCAGCCATCTTCATCTCCTTCCAGTATGGTGACTACAACTTCGACCCCACTCTTGGGCCATCTCTCTCCGATGATGACACCTCGTAGTGCAGTCTCTAGATGAACTCCAAGGTCGCGCTCTGCCGAATCGCGTATGTAGCCTCGCCGTTGTCGTGTTGCGAACGGCGCAAACTTGACCGTGGTTGTAAGGAGGAGCGAAGGACTGAAGGGCGCGCTACGGGGAAGAGGCTTGGGGCCTTGTATAGAAGCCGTGATCTTGAGCGATGACGTTGGTGGGATCAGAGTCGACTTATTCGCGGGGGAGGAGGAAGGTATTTCGAGGTACGCGGAACCCGACGCTGAGGGTATGATGGATGTTTGGAGGACTGTGGACGTGTTAGAAGCAAAACATGGATAAGGTACGCATTGCAGACGACATGCAGCTCGCTGACAGCTATTGAAACCCACGTCGATCTAATTGAGCTCCACGTCCGCGCGTAGGGAGACGCATGGGGTCATTCGGGCACTTACAGATCCTGCGAAGCTCATTCGCGCCTCTTGACCTTGTCGGCCTCAACTTTTCCAGGTACTGGGGTTCTCTGATTGTACGCGCAAACACTGGCGCACTGGTACCACCACTGGGCGCATTGTTTCTTCTCCTGTCCGTGTTCATCGTGTCTTTGATTGTGTTGTTCTGTAACGTTGCTGTACCTGAAGATGATTTCATGGTGTTCGGAAAAGTGAATGACTAAGCGCAGATCTGCCAAGATTTCGAGACCCTCAAGTTCAATTTTCTTGCGCGTCCGGTTCAACTTTCTTTCCTTACCTCACATCCGCGCTCACGGTACGTACACGCACATCCCTCTGCCCTCCCCCATTTCATGATTGATACCTTGAAATAGTTCTTGCGATCTTAGATGAGCTTTGAACATGCACCACCCTCTGATTTCAACTTTGGAGCTTCCGCTTTCGCATCAAACTTTGCGACTCTAGCTAACTCAGCTCAGATACAGGCCAGCGTTGGACCAGACCGCGCGACGGTGCGACTCACAGGCATTCATACATGACCTCGTGGCAGCGTACTTAAGTCTGTCGCATTGCGCATCTAATGCCTGCGCCAGCACATCCCCTGCTAACAACAGCACTCCGAAGCATATGCTGATCAGTGGTAAGCCTTCATTCCTCCTTCTCACTCCTCTTTATATGATGATCGTATTATTTCAGTTCTGCTACTGAATCTCTTTGAAGAAAATTTATACCGCTTACCTTTGTCTGATATCACTTTACACTTCCAGCTCAATACTTCACAAACTGAAGGATCTCGCTGACGTTGTAACCAGACACGCATTCTAGATCTTACCACTACAAGCCTACTGTCCATGGTAAGCACCCCGATCCCTTCCGCGTTCCGTTCAAGGAGGAAAACTAGTCTATCCATTCAACGACATCTGTCGCCGGGTCACCCTCCCGCACCCTACCAGTCTCGGCTGGGATGACGGGTTGTGGAGTTGCACTGTTGGTTCGTCCAACGCCGCGTTATTGTGGTCTTTGAGCCAAAAGTCGCGGCAATCCGTCTTGGGCTGCCGCGACCCGAGGCCAGGCGATGGGGGATGATTTAACACGGCTTTCTGAGCACACAACACACGTCGATATTATTTCGAGATCGCTGTTTGAGCATCGCTAACGACGCTCAGATTGTTGAAAGGAACCTTAGAATGATACAGTGGAAGCCGGGATCGTGGGCTATAGTAGATACTCGTACTTCGAATGCATTCATTCAACTCATAATTGTTTTAGTTCCTGTTCCTTGATATTCGCTCCTGATTCTTCGTACAAGGGACAAATTGTGGTTGTCGCAATGTGCTGCTTCCCTTTCACCACTGCATGACCCCTGTGAGACATACGACGCAATGTCAACAATACGAGGGTGTAAACTCACCCTCACTCGTGTACCGTTACCATTCGCTGCTTAGACGGGGATAGCCACTCCTGCACATCATTGCTCTACAAGTCTGAAACGGCCATGCTAGGTGGCTTGGCTTAGCCTCCCACCTCGGGGATCTGACAAAGTGGCAGCACTCGAACGACCACCACCGTGCATCTCGTCAGCCCTGCGCGTCGAGTCGATTGATTCGGCAACATCCGCTGAGACGCGCGCGAGCTATCAGCAACCTGTCTGGACGTCACCGTGGCCTTAGCGAACAAATCCTTGGCCCTACAACGGAGGTTATCAAAGACGCGCAACACCCCAAACGCACGACAACACCAATCTGAAGACGGCTATCGAAGTGTTTGACCTCGCGAACACACTGAGCAGCGGCAATCCCCTGGTGGAGATCAACAAGGAGTGCAAGGTGGTGCTTCGATCAGCAACTTGGTGATCTGGCGGGTCTTCGGTGACCGGGGTTCTCCAAGGGAGCATTCGACATCTGGCGCCCATCTCTCTGGATGTTGCCATTACATTCCTCTACGAAAGGGAAGATGCACCGCCATGCCTTTTCCAACGGGGCATATCCCTCACAAGGAGGGGGCACCTTTTCAATCCAACCTCACAAGTACGTCCAACACCCGCCGGCACCCTGCGCCGCGCCTCCTTTACGCTCAAACCCCAAATGAACATGGTCCTAACACTCGGTGCACCTTCAGATTCCAGCCACGGTCACAGCCTGCGCTCCGGCGGCGGAGAACACTGATCCAGCGCTTGCTGATCGTAGGCTCGCTGTTCTTTACCGCCCTATTCTTCTTCTTCCCCGACTTGCGACCGAACCTGGGCTCCGGGCCCCTCAGCTTACTCACTACGAGCGATGACGCGCAACTCGAGACGGTGCGATACTACGACCTGAACAATGTCCAAGGCACGGCAAGGGGATGGGAGAGGGAAGAGCGCATCCTGCTATGCGCTCCGTTGCGAGACGCGGCTCCGCATTTGCCCATGTTCTTTGGCCATCTGAAGAACCTCACCTACCCGCACAACCTTATCGACCTGGCTTTCCTCGTCGGAGATTCCAAGGATAACACCATTTCGCTCTTGACGGAGAAATTGGAGGAGCTACAGGCCAATCCCGATCCCAAGCAGCAATTTGGCGAGATCTCCATCATGGAGAAGGACTTCGGGCAAAAGGTCAACCAAGATGTTGAGAGTCGTCACGGTTTCGCGGCACAGGCTGGCCGCCGAAAGTCAATGGCGCAAGCGCGAAACTGGCTGCTAAGCGCTGCCCTGCGACCAACGCACAGCTGGGTCTATTGGAGAGATGTCGATGTGGAGACTGCGCCTTTCACAATCTTGGAAGATCTGATGCGACACAACAAGGATGTCATTGTACCGAGTATGTACGGCCACGCATAGTACAAGTTTGCATGCTAACATCCTACGTAGACGTCTGGCGACCGCTTCCGGACTGGCTCGGCGGAGAACAACCATACGATCTGAACTCCTGGCAAGAATCCGAAACCGCTCTCGCTCTCGCCGACACACTTGACGAGGATGCAGTCATTGTAGAGGGATACGCAGAGTACGCTACTTGGCGCCCGCATTTGGCCTACCTTCGCGACCCCTATGGCGACCCGGACATGGAAATGGAGATCGACGGTGTTGGTGGTGTCAGTATTCTTGCGAAAGCCAAGGTCTTCCGTTCCGGTGTCCACTTCCCTGCGTTCAGTTTCGAGAAGCACGCTGAGACAGAGGGATTCGGCAAGGTGAGCTATGTCATTACACCTCTTACAACAGAGCTAACACGCAGCAGATGGCAAAGCGCATGAAATTCTCCGTCGTCGGCCTTCCCCACTACACAATTTGGCATCTTTACGAACCCAGTGTTGACGATATCCGACACATGGAAGAGATGGAGAAGGAACGCAAGGCAAAGGAGGCCGAAGAAGAGGCCAAGAAGGCAAAGGAGAACAAGATCAAGGAGAATTTTGACGAGAAGAAAAGCGACTGGGAGAAGGAGAAGGCGGCGGTCCAAGACATGGTTCAGCAAGCAAAGAACGAGGAGAAGGCGGCAGCCGAGAAGGCCAGGCAACAAGAAGCAGCAGCGAAACAGGAGTCGAACCAGGCAGACACCAAAGAGGACAAGCCAGTCGAAAAGAAGGAGGGCGAGCAATCGTAGTCGTTACAGCACCCGCATAATCTCAAGGGTACGGGACCTCGGTCAGCATCCATGTTCGCAATATTGGACCATAGTGGGTCGAACCACAGCAACGACAGTAACGATTTAGGCAGATTGGGCGTAGATCTGACTTTGTTTCTTTCGATATACTGCATGCTTTCATTGTAGCCTACAGATTTCCAAGGCAACAACATTTGGCGGAATCGGCCTCGGATGGTGGCATTTCCTCTCGGAGGGTGTTTGGAGACGATGCGGAGGAATGTATACATTAGACAGCAGCTTTTGCATCACGGGCGTTGTAGGTTCAGCAGTAGATGAGCACTACGTTTGTTTGTAACAATACCAAGAAACATTATGAAATGCAAGTGGGAAAGATTAGCGCAACTCGCCATGCTTCTGCCCAGGTGTGTTTCGTCATGGCCGGCATCTGACGCTGGTCGGACCCCTGGCCTCAGCACCTCCGAAACTCCGCTAGAGCTAAGCCGCCAAATGTTCGGACGGTGCAACTCAACGCCTGGAATCGATTGCGTACGACTTGAGGACAGATTGTACGTGTAAAGATTATCTTGCATCCCAAATACATCAACATTCGGATTGTCACCAGGCAGCAGCAATTGGGAGGATGCGTGTCATCTTTCAAGTCGACTGAACCAGACATACAGCTGTCCATGAGCCCTCCACCATAAAGACACGACGCCGCGCACCACACTTTTGTCGCATACACACGTACACCACAACCTTCTCGCGCCATGTCGAGCACCGACGGCGACGACCATGTCGCGTCGACACTCCAGGAAACAATCGTCGACCTGGACCCCCGACCTATCACCGTCGCAGTCAACCCAGTAGCTCTGGTAGTGACAGAATGCATTACCGTTACGTCGGCGATGCGAAAGCACGCCCGCTGGGCACACTCCTCAGTCGCGGCCATACTGGGGAGCTCTTCCAACAAGACACCGGCTGTGCAACGACGCGACCGCACGGGACAGGGCATCATAAGCGCGGGAGAGCAAGAGGAGGCTGTCCCGAGCAGATGGGGCCTGCGGGGGAAGAAGGGCAAGAGCATGCAGGACAACCCCCTCATGTCTGCCTTTGCGCGCTTGAGGAACGACCTGAAGGGCTGCAAAGGTGAATGCTACAGTCGGGACAATACATGGGCAATGCTAATGCTGCACCAGACATCCGGACCTTCGATACCCCCTCCATGCTCCACCCCTTCCTACAAGTCATCCGCTCATCCTCCACCTCCGCGCCCATCACCTCGCTCGCCCTCATCGCTATAACCAAATTTCTGTCGTACGGCATCATTGGCCATGACTCTCCACGTCTACCAGAAGCTATGCAGCAGCTCTCCTCCGCCATTACACACTGCCGATTCGAAGCCAGCGACTCGGCTGCCGACGAGATCGTTCTCCTTCGTATCCTCAGGCTTATGGAAGTCATGATCTCAGGTCGCGGAGGAGAAGTACTAGGCGACGAGAGCGTATGTGAGATGATGGAGACAGGCTTGAGCATGTGCTGTCAGGCGAGACTATCAGAGCTGCTCCGACGCTCGGCAGAGATT